TCTATCAATAATAAATTAGATAAGTTTTGCCCGAATTCGTACCTTCCAGTTGAGGATCACCTCCTTCGCCTTATTTGTTTTTTCTTCACTCGTATATTCTACTTTACCCTCGGCAAAGAGTCTCAAGTCTTTGATCATTCTATCATAAAGCCGACATTTATTACTTTCTTTGTATATGGCGTGGTAATGATCCAAGGCATCATCTACCTTCCAGTTTCCTGCGGCGATGTGGTGAAAGTATTCCATATTTATAGCGCTGTGTAGAGAAATTAATAAGTATGTGATTTATCAAGTTTGTTAAATTTAATAAAGTCGAAAGTGAAGAAAATTAAAGCTATAAGACACCGTATTATATAGCTATCAATTGTTTACATAGACGCGTATGGCGCGTATTCTGTTATCTGTGTTATCTGCAAGTGAAATGATTAATTAAATTGTATGATACAATTATATAGAACTCCGATTCTTACTATTTGACTATTAAATTTGTTAGAGCGGAGCTTAAACTGAAATTAAAAATAAAAATTAAACACAAATATACGAATACAGAAGTAAAATTAATCATGAACTAAAATGTGGTTCAGCTGATTTTTTTAAATAAAATAAAGAATTTATTTAGTTTAAAATTATATGTAAATACATAATAGAAATATAATACTATTTGAAATTAATATTGTAACTTATTAACTTAGTATCCTATCTCTTAAAAATATTTTGCAACAATGGCAACAAATTAGAGATACGTGAAAATTGATGAGCTTGATCATTTGTTTGATCATATTATTAATTGAAATCGGTTATTTAAAGTAACTAAACCATAGTAGAGATTGATTTTTCCATTTTTTCAATTTAACCGATTTTGCAAGTCATTAAAATCCTTAGGAAATTGTAATGCATCAAGTAGTGCCGACCCGCACTAGAAATTTACAGATCAATAGTTTTTAATCTCATTTAATTCTGGTTTGTGTTAAATATCCAATCAAACTCAAATCGCATAAAGCTAAATACTAAATACATGACCAACCAGAAGACGCCTCACTGTTTGGGTCTGTTTCATAGTAGGCTTATTAATAAATATTTCACTCATCAGAAAAATTTTTAAACGAAAATATGTTCGACGCTTACTAATAATAAATCTTATTTTTTTTTTTTTTGAAAAAAAAAGATAATTTATATTCATAAAAATGTTTAAAAAAATGTTTATTTATACTATATTAAATTATTTAAAAATAAAAATTAATAATAAACAAGAACTCGTATATTTTAAAATATATCTAAATATGATGGACGATAATACTGTGCATATCTACTATAAAGTTGATGTTGACATTGTGATCGATACACAGCTATTCTATCATTAAAAGAAGATTTATAATAAAATCCAAGAATGAGATATCCATCTAGAATTCTGGATAACAAGTATTGCTAGAAAACTTATCAACATTTGCATTTTCCAGAAGAGTAAAAAATGTTGGTTGGAAAAGATACGTATAAAGAATTTAAAAATGCTTTTTGTCGTATTTGGGGATGATAATTATATATTATCATAATGAAAAGTATCGATATTTACCGCTTGTATTAAAATTTATTTCATTCAACGTCGATGATATATTAAACGCGTTGTATCGTTGTTTAATATAAAATATAACTACCTTGATTACTATTAGGAACATATCGACTTCGAAACATTTTCTCAAAATGAAAACGAAACTACTTGTGAATTTTTTTAAAAAACTTTTGTATTTGAATCAAAAGTCGTATTAAAAAAAAAATGAAAAAAATAATCGAATTAATAAACAATTTTGTCTTTATTAAATAATTAAATAAGCGATAATTGAAGACAATAACAAACAAATTAATATAATAAATGAATCTAAATAATAAAAATTATTGAAATAAATAAATAAAATCGCGTTCTATTTAGTAGCAATAGTCTAGTTTTATTTAGCAGTAGTAGTATAATTTTAGTATTTTAGTCTAATTTTACTAATTTTAGTAGTCTAATTATTAGTAGTTGTCCAATTTTAGTAATCTAATTATTAGTCTAATTTTATTTAGCAATAGTAAATCGACGTTCTATTTAAAGTTCAATCGTTTTCATTTTTATTTCTTACAACTCGTAAAGTTTTCTTATTATTATCATGCCTCCTCTCAGAAGTACCCGAAGTCAAAAGAAGTGTTATCCCTGTTGATGAAGGCAGTGCTATTGATGATACAATTCAAGAACCAACTTTGGTTAGTAAACTTCTGGAAATAAGCGACGATGACGATCTTTCAGAAGGTAACTTATTGTTTTAAAACTATAACGCAATATCATTAAAACTTTATTCTTACCTTCCTCATTTCTTTGTTTCTTTAGAAGAAAGTCAGGTTAATGAAAGTGCTGTAAATATCGGACGTGAAATTTCGGACTATATTGCTATTTTTTAAAACAAATATTATAATATTAGTTATGAAACAATAGCGAGGTTTCTGCAAAGTAGTATTATATATTTCTATTATGTATTTACATATAATTTTAAACTAAATAAATTCTTTATTTTATTTAAAAAAATCAGCTGAACCACATTTTAGTTCATGATTAATTTTACTTCTGTATTCGTATATTTGTGTTTAATTTTTATTTTTAATTTCAGTTTAAGCTCCGCTCTAACAAATTTAATAGTCAAATAGTAAGAATCGGAGTTCTATATAATTGTATCATACAATTTAATTAATCATTTCACTTGCAGATAACACAGATAACAGAATACGCGCCATACGCGTCTATGTAAACAATTGATAGCTATATAATACGGTGTCTTATAGCTTTAATTTTCTTCACTTTCGACTTTATTAAATTTAACAAACTTGATAAATCACATACTTATTAATTTCTCTACACAGCGCTATAAATATGGAATACTTTCACCACATCGCCGCAGGAAACTGGAAGGTAGATGATGCCTTGGATCATTACCACGCCATATACAAAGAAAGTAATAAATGTCGGCTTTATGATAGAATGATCAAAGACTTGAGACTCTTAGCCGAGGGTAAAGTAGAATATACGAGTGAAGAAAAAACAAATAAGGCGAAGGAGGTGATCCTCAACTGGAAGGTACGAATTCGGGCAAAACTTATCTAATTTATTATTGATAGACAATTTTAAGCACTTTTTAATGTTCTTCTGCTTTCTTTTTTAGGATTGGGCTCAAGAGTCCAAAGGTAATTTATAATAATAATAAATATTTTTTGTTAATTTTTGAATTTTTGTTGCTGAATAACACATTTTATCGCATAGCAGAGATCAAAGAAAAAAAAAAAATAGTTGAGATACGTAACGCAATTACAAAAATCAAATTGGCCGAAAAAGAAATAGAACTGGCAGAACGCGACCTCCGCATTCGGAAAGCAAGTGCAATGGTTTGTAAATTAAGATTAATTAACAAAAAATTACAAAAAAAGGCCAATACAAAAAGCCACAGTTCCCATGTGGAACTGGTGGAGAAGAGGATTGCACTTTGGGAACGGAAGCTAAAACTAAGTAAGGGTAGAGCGGAGGTCGAGGCAATTGAGTTAGAAAATATGAAATTGCGTCGAGATCTTTTAGGAAACAATAATTGTACGTGATTACATATATATTTTTTTTTTTCATTTAAATATCAATTCATCAATTAACAAATACCGCTATTTTTTATAGAAAAAATTTATTTATTATTATATATATGGAAAGCCACCCTTGACAAAAGGTTGATGTCTCCGGACATCAACCTTCGTCAAGGGTGGCTTTCCATAAAATCAGAATTTCATAAAATTTGCAAGCCTATAAATTTAGTAAAAAATTTATATTTTTTATTTAAAAAAAATTAAATTCTTCGTTTACAAATATTATTTCAGATTTGCAATACTCTAATAAAAATTAAATTCAATAAATCCATTTCTTCTAATCTAATCATACTGCATATAATTGTGATTCAATCTAGCTTTTTATAACTGAATATTTTTAATATTTTCAAATAAATTTTCAATTAACTTCAAACATTCATCTGAATCATTGATAAAAAGTTACATCCTCTTGAAGAACCGAGAAGGAGTAACATTAATTTCCGGCTAGTATCTATATAACTAAAAAAAATTTGTCTGACGTTTTGGATTTGTCTCCGTATAAATAATTTGAATTGTGTAACTTGAAATCCCATGCCATACCTCCGCCTGATGTCAAAACTATTCGATCTAATCATACTAATCCAATTTCAGTCGGAATTTTTTTTTTGATTATTAATTTTTTGTCCGATTTTTTTTTGATTCCTTTTTTTTTAAATTTTTCAAAAAAAATTTTCTCCCTTTTCTTTCAGTTTAGTTTTTCTTTTCAAACCGAAAAATTTGTTTTTCTCATTCTTTTCCCATTTAGGTTAAATTTTTTTTCCCAAACTGCTAGGTTTTTAAGCCATATCTTCACATCCTTCTATTGTTTTGAAATTTTTTAAACTATAATAAAATCTGGTGACCATGACGATAGTATAAATTTCACCACTTCTTTGACCCATAATTATAAATTTATTTAATGCTATCATTTTTCAATAAAATCTTTTATTTCAGAGTTATTTTTTCTTAAAAAGTCTTATATAAAAGGTTGTGTAAAGAAAGAATATATTTGGAGATGTGCAGCGTTGGTGCGTTGGATTAAGTATATTGCAAATTTTTTAACAAGCCACTACACGTGACTGAAGTCACGTGAAATCTTCCAAAAAATTTTGCTCACCACTGGTAATTGTGATTGAGATTAATTACAATTGCAGTACATATTATTAGGGATTGGAATCGATTAATCGAAAATCGACAAAACATAGTAAAATCGATTCTCAGCAATTTTTTACATATAAGTTAACCTGACTTCAAAGTAATTTTTCATGCTGGCCAATTGCTGATTATTTTTGCTGAAATTAGAAACTGATTCAAAGTCAGATCGGTCGTCTATAAGAGAAATCTTGAAAAGATTCGATTTTCGATTCCAATCCCTACATATTATACATATTATCAATCTTTCTACACGTCAACAAGATTTTTTTTTATTTTAAATTTATTTTTAAAAAAAAGCGGTAATTTGTTAATTGATAAATTTAATATTTGAATGAAAATTTTTTTTAAAGTTTGTAACATACTGTAAAAAATAATTGTTCATTAAATGTTCAAAAAATGGTGTCTACAAAAAAGATAAAATTTTTTAATAAAAAACAATTAAAATATCATTACAGATAAGTTTCAAATAGAAACTTACCATATCAGCATATCCAAGTCCTAAAGCCAAAAGAACTGATGCCTACGAAAAAAAAGAGATTAAAAAAAATAAATTAAAAAAAACGTTTCAAATTTTCGAATTGAAACTTACCAGACTCCCAAAACTGAAGAAACTAACACCTACAAGAAAAAAAGAAAAATTAAATTAAAAAAAAAACAAATTTTTTTAAAAAAAAATTTCAAACCATTAAGCCCATGCATTGAAGAACCAGCAGTCTACAAAAAGAAGAAGACAAACGGAATGTTATACGTTTCGTTGAAAGTATTATTTACAAAAAGTCAAAAAGTTCCTTATCGAATTCCCTCCTTATAGTTCAAGCTGGCGTTCTACAAAAAAATACAAAAAGAGACGTATATTTAAATAAAAATCCTCTTCCTCCTTCCCCCTTTCCCTATTTTTTACCTTCAGATTCATGTTCAAATTACAAAAAAAAGTAATGAAAAGAAATGTTATAACATTTCTTAAATTAAAAAAAGATAAAAAAAAGTCCAACTCTTTCTTGTCTTGAAGTCTGGTTCGTTCAAGCCAGCACCCTACAAAAAAAAAAATAATGAAAAGTAACATTAAAACGTTTCTTAAATTAAAAAAAAAAGATAAAAAAAGTCCAACTCTTTCTTGTCTTGAAGTCCGGTTCATTCTGGCTGGCAATTCCTACAAAAAATTAAAGAAATGTTTGTAAAACGTTTCTACAAAGTTAATTTTGAAAAAAGCTCTCACCTTCCAAAGCTGAAATAAAGCCAAAGGAGCTTACCTATGTACTTGCAGACCGAAGCTGAAACAAATAAAATGCCATTCGTGAAAATTTTTTTTTTTTAAAAAAAATTATGTATTTATTTACCTTTATCCAAGAGTCAAAAGATCCTAAGAAAGTCTAAAAAAATCAACTTTTTTGACTATCTTTCGCTGATCAGCTAGTTTCAAATATTCAAATATTAGTCTAATTTGACTAGTGACAAACCATGCAGTTTCGTGTAAATTTTAAATAATTGGACTAACCGTTTAATCATAGTTGACTCTACGCGGAATTAGTATTAAATAAAAAACTAACTTTATAAATTTAATCTATAAATGGATTAATACTGTAACTGTTATATATAAATTGAACTAGCTTTATTAATTCATATTACAATTACATCAGTACATATAAACAGATTAATAAGAATATTAAATAAATCTTTGTTCCCTATATTAGGAAATATTAACAATAGAATGATGTAGTAAGTCTTTTTAGAAGAAATTTTTAATTATTTTTGGTTATTTTTTATTTTATTTATTTATTTTTTTGTATAAGCTTTTTATTCCATTTGTATTTACGTTAATATCAAATTTCTATAAAATAGCAATAAAGATGCCATTGGTAAATAAAAAAAATCATAAAAAATTTCCATTCATTTGCTTTAACATATTTTTATCAATAGAATTAGTTGTTCCAAAAAAATTATCCACTAGGTTCTGCAAAAAATATTAAATTTTAACCAGTTCTATTATTTTACTCATATTTTTTTTTTAGATTCTTCAAGCAATAAAATTACAACAAAAAACACTCCGGTTAAGACAAGCTCTTCATATTGTTCAAGTATACAAAATCAGCAAAACTGATACAAGATTGGGAAGTTTAGCTAAAGATATTGCTGGATGGTTCAACACTTACCAATACAAATTCCATAAGTAAAATCATTACTGGTGCGCGAACTATTAATGTGTTAAGGTATGAAACATTTATTTCAAGTTCGGAAAAAGTAAAATTAGTTGTATTAGTTATATGAGCTGATCCCCAGCAGATAAAATCGTTTAGTTCAATATTTTTGTTCAAATTAATTGTGCGTGGATATTCAGTTCATGAAATATTTATAAATTTAATATACAGATACGAGACCCAAACCCATCTTAAACTTTTTTTTTCTATAATTGATAAATAGGAAGAATAGCCATATACTATAATTTCAAAAAGTTGCATTATCAAATTTTGCACAAATTGTGAAAATATGTCAGTTATTGTATAATTTGTAGACAGAATGGTTTTTATTTTGTATGAAGTCAATATTTGTTATTATTCACTTATTGTACATATAAATGATCAATTATCATACAATTTTTATAACTAATAATATACAATCGCAAAAATTTGTTTATTTTACAGACAAATAATGACTCCTTTGTACATTTTCTGAATATATTCAATATGATTTGTGTACAAACTGTGTTTTTATAGGTTTATACAAATAATCAGTCGCTACCTACAAACACATAAAACTAATTTTAATTTTATTCTATATCAGAATCCTTTTTTTATGTTTTAATTTTTTTTTAGTGGTTGATAATTGTGAGTGAAAAAAAAATACGACTTAAATTTAAGCCGCGTACATAATTAATCGTTCCTGTTGTAAAGGATGTCATTATTCATAACCAAGTTATAATAGATATAGCTCCTACCTATCATTAAAAAGAATATATTGCTTTATCAAAAATAATAAATATAAAGGAATGTAATCTGTTAAGAAGTATTAATTTTAAATACTGCTTTCTTTTTTTAAGAAAACTTACCAATATTATATTTAATAAACTGAATAGTTCCTTTGCCTTATTTTTTCTCTTCACTCATATTCTCTGTTTTATCTTTGGCGAAGAGTCTCAAATCTTTTATCATTCTATCATAAAGTTGAAATGCCAGCTTCACTTCTTTTTCAGCTAACTTGATTTTTGAAATTGCGTTATGTATCTCAACTACTTTTTTTTTACATTTTATCTCTACTATTCGATAAAAATGTGTTATTCAGCACCAAAAATTCAAAAATCAACAAAAAATATTTAAAAAAGAAAGCAGAAAGAACATTAAAAAAAGAGGAAACACTTCTATGACACAAAGCTCACTATACCAAAACGCACCTTTGATTTCATTCACTTAATTTTGTAAGAAGCCGATATTTGTAATATTTGCTTGGCTTCCGGTATTTTATTTCATTAAAAAATGGTATCGTACTATAAACTTTCATTGAGGGAAAGCCTAGTAAATGATTTTTTCATATTGCGAGAAAGGACAATTTAGTCCTTGTAAATTTTTTAGTTCAATGTTTCTACAATAAATAAGCCTTATTAATATTATTAATCAAAATTGTATGATATAATTATGTCGTCATTATTACAATTATCAAAGTTACACACGTTCAGATATATAAATAATAATACTGATATAATTATGTCGTCAATATTATAATTATCAAGTCAGATATATAATAGATATAGATAGATATTTTAATACATTTTCTTTTTTTTTTTCGAGGAACAATTTTTTTTATCGGTCAAATTGCCGAATCGATAAGTATAAATATAAATAAAACATGATAAATTGGAAAAAAAAATTGTTTTTATTTTACCGCATTCCATGAATTTCTTGAGAAACTTCTTACATTCGTTGATCAATAAATTCATTCAGCTGTAACGTGCATCGGATAAATTTCACCCGGTATTATTTCGGTAAAGTACTCTTAAAATTTTCAGGAGCATAATTAGGTTATTGACAAGAGTTCTATATAAATTTCCAATTGTTATCATCAATATTATAATTAATTACAATTCATTAATTGTAATCATCAAACTGCTGATATCAACTTACAGTATACAATATTTGCATCTAATGAAATATTAAAGACATCCCAGATGACAGAAAATAAACAAATCATTCAGTCAATAACTTCAGGCATAACCTATTGGGGTGTCACACAGACTAATTAGATTTTTCATGTTATATTTATGGTTTTCTTAACGTGACTGTTCTTTTCTTTTGCCTTCAAAATTTTTACTTAAGAACAAAGTTACGTTCAAATATTTCTATTTAAATTTGATATTGTGATTAGTGTAAATTCTTTCTATTGAACCATTTTTAAAAGTTTGGAAAAAAGAAAATGAACGTAACTATTTTGAGATAGTTCTTAAGAATACTATATTCATTATTAAAAATTATCAATAGACAATTTAATTAAACTTTATAGCTTTACATAATATAAAATCTGATCATAATAAAATATTAAATGTCGTTTGATTAATTAGTGTGACACCCTAATAGCTAATAGCCTATGTAAACCTCAAGAAGTGGTTAATCGTTCATTCTTTTATAACCACCAAATGATTTTTGAATTTATAATATCATTTGTAAAGAAACACAAAACTTTTGAAACTCGAAGAATATATAGAATTTATAAAAAAGGGAAATCTTAAGTTTAGATATTTAGCATCAAACTGTTTAACTACTTTGATTTATATCACGTGATGCCTCAATCAAATTTTAAAAATTTATGTTTACTGTAAAAAAATGTAAAACTATTGTAATGACAATAAAAAATGATTTTTTTAATTTCCACCGTTAAAAAACATATAAATAATAAAGTTACAGGTAAAAATATATCGGTGTTTATATAATAACTTTAATACTTGAATACTTGTGTCAATTAAAATGCTAAAGGAAGGAAAAAAAAGTTTCGTGGAGAGGATAAAAATTTTTCGTGAAGGATAAAAGAAAGCGTGGGAAAAGATTTGATTTTACTTATCAATTTATTTTATTTCAAAAGAGTAATTAAAGTCTATTACAAATAAAAGTATTTAGCACCGGAGTACAAAAGAAAACAGTCTATATGTGTAGATCTAACATTCATCCCATCAAGATTTCTCAAGAGAGGACCACACCCTTCGTTTGGAGCTATTCGAAGAAGTAGGACTACGCTAGTTAATCAAATTAAAAAGAAAAAAAACCAACGATCTTACAAAAAAATAAAAGTAATCTAAAAAATAAACAAAGGGTTTATATGTTGAAATAAAATGTATTAAGAGTATTATTATAACTATATCGATCAGTGTCATCAGCGTTATAATTTTGGATATCGCAATGAGCCAATGGTATAAGGTGTGCACAATGACCTTTCGGCACAAGGCCGCCACCTGTAAATACTGTAAGAGGTGGAGTGGTTCACACTATTTTAAATTGTTTGATAAAGGGAAGACTCATTACGGGTTAACAGTTAGTTTTAGGGTTCCGGATTGAAATCCGTATTTCGGATTTAGATCCGGATTAAGACTTGTAATTCGGATTACAGCTGTTTTCATATTATTTGGGACAAGACATCCGGTCCGGTATGTCGCATGTCGGATTGTCATGTTTGTTTATTTGCATAACGATAATAGTTAAAATAGTTAAACGTAACTCGTTGATATAATTCATTGATTCAAATTTCATATCATATCTATATTTATTTTTTCCAAATATATATATATAAATGTCTCAAACTGCATCTTTAACTTATACAAACTAAAACATATCGGACAAATATTAGGACTATAACTTGTGCAAAAAGTAAAAATAATTGTATTTGTGCACCCAAGACTCTTATAAAACCAAGAGGATCTCTTCACAAACCAATTACAAAAATGGATATATGAAATAAAAGAAAGCAATAGATTATGCTTTTCTTGCATAGTTTAAAGATAATGTACTTACTATACTTAAAGTTCCTAAGAGTTTAGATTTTGTTAACATATGCAAAAGTTGCATCAACAAATATGAAATCAAAACAACAAAGAAACAAATATAAATATCTTTGAAACTGCGAAGGTTAGTCCGATAGTTATATCAGAAGGTGAAATCAATGTAGATGATCAAGAAATGAATAATCTTATTCCAAAACTCGAAAGGGTTAGTAAATCTTGATTCACGTGACAATCCGACATCCGACATACCGGACCGGACAAAATTTCACTTTTGTCCCGAATAATATGAAAACAGCTGTAAAATCTGGATTAAATTACATTATCCGGATTAAAATCCGAATAATTATATATCGAATATATTGAATAAAATTACTTAATATTATATATTATTATTATATATTATTATTAGTATACAATATAAATTTATTACAGGTGCGAAAACTTCCATAACTTTCATATTTCGTTTTAAAAAGAGAATTTTAGTCACTATTCCCTTTTCATCATATGCATAGTTTTCCATTAACATTAGAATATTTTGTAAAATAACTATGTCTGATATTTGTATGTTTTATTACTGCTCTCTTTTATAAACATTAATTAAAAAAAGGTAAATTTTTATTCTTTTAATAAAAAGAATTATTTTCTAAATTTGTATTCTTTGAACTTAAAGAGCTTCGTAAACTTGTATTAGGAGATTCTTCATTATCCAAATCAATTTCAATATTATTATTTTCCATTGTTTACAATAATTTAAGTGAGACAAAGAATTTTGTTTATTAGAATATAGTAAATCAGTACTTAACTATTTATATACTAATCTGGATTACAAATTACAATCTGCCCAATCCACTAATTCGGATTATGGCAAGCCGTAATAAGGATCATCATAATTAAGCTTAAGAAAGGATTTTATTTTATTTTATTTTTTTTTATCCATGTGAACAAGATTACAGAAAGATAGACAAGAACTAATTAAAACAAAAAGTCAACGCTATCTAAACTACGCTATAATCAAACCGCCCGAAAACAGTGCCACCCTGGTAAGCTTAAGAAACGATCGAAACCCTAAATAGGTACTGGATCCTAAGCATTGATCACGTGACTAGAAATTAGCCAATAAAAATCAAGATTTGATTGTGCTACACTTAAAATATGTAAAAAAAATATATTTTGAATGACTGAGACACATTTTTAAATTAATGAACATATTTAATAAAAAAAAAGGATAATTAGCTATTCAAAATAACATTGTCTGATAATTTTTCATGACCTCTTAAAAACATTTAATTATAATAACTCAGGCCAGCACACAATCTCAACCCAGATTATGAAAAATTTTGACTAATGAAATTATACTTGTATGGTACGATTTGTTTCAATTGAGATCATTCATATGAAAATCATTCACGTTAGTAGTTTAATAGTAATTATCTCAAAAAGTAATGTTACCGATTTAGATTTATAAAATTTTAAATTTTTTAAAGTTCTGAAAGTTTTTTTTAATCACCTCAATTTTATTGTTGAGTATAGACTTCCAGCACCATACCTAATCTAGATTGAATATCCACGAGAAAAGAATTATTCGATAAAAAGGTATCCTTTTGAGTCACTTTCTTTATTCTTTAAAAAAAACGATTATTTTTACTCGCTCATTCTTTCGTTAACGTTAATTGATTTTCTTAAATCATAAAGTTTTATTATTTAGAACAATTAGAGTCAATTTTATAGAAAATGAATAAAGAATTAAAGATGGATTATTCGAATTATTTATCAATAAAACACAAATTACTATAAATGTAACTTTGGACGTAAAACTGGAAATGACCCCATGGCTGGATATTTATGACGAAGACGGAGAAATGACACCAACTATCGATATAGAAAATGAAGAAGTGGACGATGATGACAGAGAGCTTGAAAGCGAATATGAAAAAATGATGACAGTTTAATGAAAGCAAAGATGAGGATGAAAGAAAAGGAACAGGAAGAGAATTCAGAATTCTGATGAAGAAGTGATCATTGACCAACCTCTTAGCAGCGAAGTGGGTGAACAAATACCACACTCTTTTGGTGAATTTATCCCATTTCATGAATATCACTGAATCACTAATTTTCTGTTGGATGCAAAAACATTGTATATGTAAGTTGCATTATTCTAACGCTTGCAAACGATTTTTTTTTTGGTAAAACGATATACTTTTATTATTTATATGATGAAGAACATAAAAATCTATAAAATACACCCGAAGTTTGGAAATAAGACTCAAGAACAAGCCTATTTCCTCCCTCAATACCAAAACTTTCACCTCATATGGTAAAGTTATAGTACCATTACCTATTACATAAAATTTGAAAGATCAATATAATACATTCTTAAAAAGTCCTTAACCTTATATAAATCTTTATTTTATGTCAAGCAGGAGGAATAATTATTAATCAATCTTTATTTTATGTCAAGCAGGAGGAGTAATTAACCCTATATTAATCCTTTATAATTTGCGTTTTAACGTGAAATCATGTGACTTCAACACGGAAACACTATCCTAATCTACTACTTTTCATTCGCCATCTTTTCTTGAACTGTTTCTCTTCTTTTGGACTCTTTACTGTACTGCCCGCTTGTCATTTTAGTCTCGTCTCATTCCCTATTCTCTTTTCAAAATCCACATTAAGTTGCGTATACTTTTGTATTAAATCATGTGATTCCGCATATTTAATCAATTTTTCTCGAAGCTTAATTGCGGATTCTAGAGATTTAATCTTCATTGCCGCCTCTTCCACCTTCATCTGATGTTTGATCTTTTCCCGTCCATTTCTTCTCCTGCTATCATAAAACCTCCACTAATTTCTTGACCTTGGGACTAATAACCCTCATTTTGTATATCAAAATTCGAGATGCCGTGAAGCAACGTATGGTTGGTATGGAACTAACAATTTTTGTTCCTTCTTTTGTTCGTTGATGATATTTACCACTTCTTCCATTAAAGAAAAATCGGCAAAGGAAGAAGCGTTAAAGAAAGATAATGTCTCAAAGTCATTTACATCTAAACCTCTCCTGTACGTATTTACCACTTTATCCTCAGATACTGTCATCGATCGTTCCACATCATTCGCTGGACCTCTATCCTTGAATTTATCTCTTTCCTGATACTTACTAATTCCATCTAATTCTGCAAAAATTCTTTGAGCTGGAGTTTCCAAAAAGTTTGCATGATGTGTCACTTCCGGCATACGCAGTTTTGTATCATGCTTCTTTGTATCTTGCTTCTCCTCTTTCTTGCTTCTTATCGGTTCCTTGAACTGCCGAAATAACCAAAATGCTAGTTTTTATTAATTGTTTATTAACTACCGTTCATCTAAAATTTAGAACCGATTTGTATACAATTGGATTTAGTTAAAGTTTATACATGTAGACACTTTACAATTTATTTGCGACATCGAAATTATAATTTTAATATACATTTAATGCAACTTTAATATATATCGAATACAATTTTACTATACAGTAAATATAACTTTTACATATGTTAAATACAAATTTACTATTAAATAAAACTTTAATATATTTTTATCGTACATTAAATATATTTTTATCGCACATTAATTACATTTTTAAATATACATTAAATATAACGTTTTAATATGAATTTAACATAACTTTACTAATATCGATAATATTTTTGTACGACCTGTTAAATCAGGTGACGATCTCCTTAATAAGCGTCAACTTTATAGTACATACGATTGGCTTGAACTTATTGTAACGATGCATTAATTAAATTATTAAAATATCTATTTATATCTAACTTGATAATATTGACGACATAATTATATCTTATTATTATTAACGTATGTAACTTGATAATTGTAATATTGACGACATAATTATATCAAACAATTATTAATAACTTGATAATTGTAATATTGACGACATAATTATTTCATAAAATTATTTTAATAACTTGATAATTGTAATATTGACGACATAATTATATCATAGAATTATTTACTAACTTGATAAATTGTAATAATGACGACATAATTATATCATACAATTTTGATTAAGGCTTATTTGGCTTATTTATTGTAGAAATTTTGAACTAAAAAATTTACAAGGACTAAAATTGTCCTTTCTCGCAATATGAAAAAATCATTTACTAGGCTTTCCCTCAATGAAAGTTTATATTTTTTAATGAAATAAAATACCGGAAGCCAAGCAAATATTACAAATATCGGCTTCTTACAAAATTAAGCGAACTAAATCAAAGGCGCGTTTTGGTATAGTGAGCTTTGTGTCATAGAAGTGTTTCCTCTTTTTTTGGACTCTTGAGTCCAATCCTAAAAAAGAAAGCAGGCTGGAAAAGAAATAGAACTGCAGAACGTGATCTCCGGATCTATAAATTAAAATTAATTAACAAAAAATTACAAAAAAAGACCAATGTAAAAAGCCACAGTTCCCATGTAGAACTGGTGAAGAAGTGGATTGCACTTTAGGAACGGAAGCTTAAACTAAGTAAGGGTAGAGCGGAGGTCGAGGAGGTTGAATTGGAAAATATGAAATTGCATCGAGATCTTTTAGGAAATAAGAATTGTACGTGATTACATATTTTTTTTTTTTTTTTTCATTTAAATATCAATTCATCAATTAGCAAATACCGCTATTTTTTATAGAAAAAATTTATTTATTATTAAATAATCACCCTTCGATGTCCGGATTGATAAGCTTGATCATTCGTTTGAAATCAGTTATTTAAAGTAACTAAACCATAGTAGAGAACTACGGTAAAGATTGATTTTTCTATTTCTTCGATTTAACCGATTTTGCGAGTCATTAAAATCCTTAGGAAATTGTAATGCATCAAGTAGTGCCGACCCGCACTAGAAATTTACAGATCAATAGTTTTTATTTCATTTAATTCTGGTTTGTGTTAAATATCCAATCAAACTCAAATCGCATAAAGCTAAATACTAAATACATGATCAACCATAGGTGATAAATGAAGGCGCCTTCCCGCAATCGAAGTCACGTGATTAATGTAAAAAATTTTCTGATAAAAAATTTTACGCGGGGTACAGCGAGCCAGATATGAGTGAATGGATTTTGGACTGACGGCTCCTCCCAAACCAACCGTATCATTGAGTCGAATTGCTTTTATCTCAGTGTTTAACATAGAGGTTTTTGATTAGTTTAGAATTCACAAACTTGTTTTTGGTAGAAAAGGAGGGTAAAACTGGGCGAGTAGACCGTTTTGTTTGGCAATTTTGTCTGGTTTGATCACACATTTTCTCCGATGCGGGAGACTTTAGTTTTTTTTTTAGGTTTTTCTTTTTGGGATTTCTTCATGTTAGGTTCGATTTTTGCATATTGGGATGAGACGAGGTCTATTTATTGTTATATTCGTGCAACTGCATATCTTAGTGCATATATTTAGTGTGTTCTCCTGGTAATGTATTTAGATAGGTTTTTTGTGCTATAGAGCAGCCAACTGCTTCTCTACGTATTTCTAAATATTATATATGTACTCGTACTAATTTTAATAAAGAAATGCGTTACAAAAAAAAAAAATAAATAAATAAAAATAAATGAAGGCGTCTCACTGTTGGGTTTGTTTCATAGTAGGCTTATTAATAAATATTTCACTCATCAGAAGAATTTTTAAAATAAAAATTAATTCGTGATCCGCTACTCAAATTCGGGGGTTTTTGCGATTATCTCGTATTCCAGTGATCCAATTTCGACGAACATTTTTTTGTTATGTAGCTCTCCATGTCCTTTATAAAATAAAAAAAATCGTCGAAATTGGACCAATAGATCGTGAGATAATTACAAAAACGGTTTTTTTCGGAAGTGGCTAGATTCCTCACGATATTCTCCGAACTAAAAATAGGTTTTATAATTATCGATCTTTTTTTATTTTGTAGAGAGCGACACAACAAAAAATTGTTCATCGAAATTGGATTGCTGGTTTAACAGATAATCGCAAAAAAAACGATTTTTTTATTCCCCCGAATTTGAATAGTGCATGAATTAATAATAAAACAAGAACTCGTATAACTTAAAATATATCTAAATATGATGGACGATAATACTGTGCATATCTAGTACTACTCTAAAGTTGATGTTGTCATTTAATTAATTATAATTCGACTTGTGATGATCGATACACGGCCATTCTATCATTAAAAGAAGATTTATAATAAATCCAAGAATAAGATATCCATCTGCTGGAATTCTGGATAACAAAGTATTGCTAGAAAACTTATTTTCCGTCCAAAGTTACGTTTATAGTAATTTGTGTTTTATTGATAAACAATTCGAATAATCCATCTTTATACATTTTTTATAAAATTGGCTCTAATTGTTCTAAATAATAAAATTTTATGATTTAAGAAAATCAAATTAACGTTAACGAAAGACTGACGAGTAAAAATAATCGTTTTTTAAAGAATAAAGAAAGTGCCTCAAAAGGATACCTTTGGATTAAATAATTCTTTCTCGATTTGGCAAATAAATTTGGGTTGATGTATCTCTGTAGCACAATAATTACGGAATATTGAATTACATTTGTATTGATACAAGAGGTATGTAGAATAAGGAATAACCTAGAAAAAAAAAGACTTTTTTATCATAGATTTAATAAATAGATTGTAAGTCGGTATATCTGATATCCAATCTTAGTATAGTATGATTTTGTAAAATAGTATGTATGTTGCATTTTTTGTTAGTACGTATGATTTTAAATTTTGATTTTTAAATATAAAAATTAGTGAAAAAAAATCATACATACGTATATAAATCATACTTTTTTACTATACTTTTTCGATGGCGCTCACTCCTTCTTTAAAATATGAAAATAAAAATTTAAATAAATATTTTTATTTGTTATACTAAGCATATCGTTATTTATGTGCATTTATCTTTAAAGATAAATACACCCTTTATAATTTTAAGGAGGAGAATCAAGAGTAAATAAATAAATTATAAACATAATCATATTTAAGCTTTTTGCAAAAATGTATTCATGTTCTTTATTAAATTTTAAATTTTTTAATTTTTTAAATTTTTTTAATTTTCTCGTAAAAAAAGCTGAAGCTGCAAAATACTAAATTACCTGTAAAAAAAATATATAGGATTTCTTGTAAAAAAAAAAATCTCGAATTGATATATTTTTCATATTAATATATTGCGTAATTGTCTTCTGTGATCAATCATAATTATGTGTTGTTTCACTTGTTTGTACGTAATAAAAAAATTTAAATCATACTATCATACATACATATTATTATATGTTGTGATAAGTTAAGTTATATGTACCATAAAAAATCATACATACAAAGTAAAAAACTAAAAATCCCACAAACATACTAACTTAAAAATCGTACTTTACAAAATATATAGTCGTTAAAAAGTGAAATTTTAGAAAAATATTATTGAAAAAATGGTATATTAGAATAAATTCTATTTTTTCACATTAGTATTTGTTTTATAAATAATATAGAAGTCATGATAAATAATTTATAACTTAATGTCTGAAATTTTATTTGCGTATTTTTGCAGGATTTTCAATATCAGGAATTATGCGTACTACTCTTATAAAAAGTTTCTGCGTACAGCTCATAGTAAAAAATTTTTTCGACACCTGACCTCTTATTATATATATATTTCTGGGTCCTAGATAGACTACCCGGGTCTTATACAAAATATCCATAATTAAAATTGATTATACCCGGATCTTAATCTAGGTGAATTTTTTTATATCTGATAAAATATCCGGATCTTTTAATGTGAGGGTATTCTTAAAGGGAGATATCTTAAGCAGTATAATTGTTTTATCTTGAAATTTTCTTGAGGATTTTGAGCGGGTAACTGGTGGAGCCATTTGAAGTTTGATATAAAGTATATGTGAATATATTATAGTAAACTATGATATGTACTTTTTACGTCGAGGAATCTATTTATTTATTTATGTAAAAAAATTTATGACTTCAATAAAATATCGAAATAAAATCATTTTTTGTTCTGTAAATTTGTGCATAAAGAACAAAATAATAAATAAACACGCCCGAACACCCAAAAAGAAATAACCTCTAATGTAAACTAGCTTAAACAAACTTGAGCTAACAGATTCTACCTATATCTAATTATTACGACTACAAATAACCTCCGTTATACGGAAATATAAACATAATATTACAATTATTAATATAAGAATAATGAATATTAATAATATGGAATCAAAACTCTGATTTTCTTTTGTTTAGTTGCTAGTTTCACCCCGGCAGAATTTGGTTGAAAATTTTCATAATCAAATATGAAAATCCCTAAAAGTATGCATGGATAGTAGAGAACATTTGATAATAATATCGATAAAAAAAATTCGTAAGTAATCGTTATGATCTATAATGCTCTTTTTGTCAAAGGTTGCAAAAGCCAAGATTTTATTTATTCATTTACTTACTTTTTATTAGGAAGTAAAAAGAAAGAATCTACTAAATCAGTTTAATAAAATTAAGACACAATAATTGTTTCTAAACCATGGTAAAATGAGAATTTTCCTATTAGAAAATAAACTTCATAAGGATAGCATAGTCATTTACAGCAAAAATCAATACTCACATATTGATAACAGGGGATCGACGCACTTTCTAATTTCTCAACTTCCGCGCTGGCCTGAGTTTTAGTTTTCGTTCCCAAAGTGCAATCCGCCTCTCTCCTAGCTCGATTTGCGATATTTTCTAACTCTACTTAAGCACTGGCTTTACATAAATTGACTCTCAAATACATAGATTATGAATACTAAAATTTAATGATCTATTTATTGTGCGATCCTCGCTCTCTATCATCAGTTCTATACGTTTCGGTATAGATTTTACTAAATTAAGACATAAATTCCCATAAATTCCCATAAATGGCCTCCCATTACCTTGCTATTGTTGACATATAAACCACTTGGGTTGATGGGATGTTCATAAATTTTCGATAGTCAGTCAAGAAGGTTAAGTTTAGCTTGGTGCTTGGATGTTGAAATATCCACACGAGTTTGCTCAAATAAATTTTGAGTCAAAATGTCACGACAAAGTCCACCATTTATATTTTTAGTTAAACATGTGAAAACCAACAGCTCCTTTTTCTCTACACATGAACTTTAAAGGGTGTTTTGCTGTTTCACGAGCTGGCCTTAGTTTCCACTTCTATAGCGAACTTGAGTTGTATTACAAAACATTTGTTTCGTCAGAAAATATAGCTTTATTTCACCTTTTTCTTTGATGAGCTTTTTGCCCAGTAAGAATAGGAACTGGACGAAAAATACAAACTTTATATTCAAGTTTCTGATGATTTTCTCTTACTGTTCGTGGTGCAACGTGGTGCAATATTAAGACTAGGATAAGAATTTTCAGGAACTTCAACACTTGACGCATCTCTGTATGATTTTGTGGCACGACCAAGGTAATAACATTTATTAGGGGATATGACGCTTTGGATGACCTGAATGATTTCTTGCTTTAAGTCATATAACGTCTTTTGAAGGATTGTTTTGGTGATACAGAAAAACTGGATCATCCGACCAATTTTTTTTCTAAAAAAAGTAAATGAGTCTTGGACTTATAATTAATTCTGAAGAGAGTTGTTTTTCTTCTTGTAAAGGGATTAAAGATGTATTCCTTTCCATGACATCTTTTTATGAAGTGATATGTTGCAAAATAATACAATGAATATTAAGTTCGCTATCCTCTTTTTTTTCTTGGAATTTCTTTTCACTATGCGTGATAATAAATGTGTTGTTCAGCACCAAAAATTCAAAAATTAACAAAAAATATTTATTACTATTAAAAATTACCTTGGACTCTTTTAAAAAAGAAAGCAGAAAGAACATTAAAAAATGCTCAAAATTGTTCATCAATATAAAGAAGATAAGTTTTGTTTCTTCCAGTTGAGGATTATCTCATTCGCCTTATTATTTTTCTCTTCACTTGTAACAGTCACATCATTTATCTTCCAGTTTTCTGCGGCACTATTATGAAAGTATTTGTGTTTACAAAAAAAAAAATTTTTTTTTTTTTTTTAATAAAAATCTGGTCGCATTTTCAAGATTAAAATAGCTTCTTGTTTATTGGTATTAGAGTTCTAAGTATGAAGAATTCCAGACAAGAGTATGAAAAGAAAAAATAAGATAGCTATTTATTGTTTACATAGTTTACTAATCAAAATTATACGATGTAAATATGACATCAATATTTACTAATCAAATTGTATGATATAATTATGACATCAATATTTACTATTCAAACTGATTTTTTTTAAATAAAATAAAGAATTTATTTGGTTTAAAATTATATGTAAATACATAATAGAAATATAATACTATTTGTGAATATTCAATAAATTTTGTATTTTTCATTAAGTGAAATCTAACCGATTTTGCAAATCAATTCAAGTTAATGCATCAATATTATAATATTGTTAGTAAAGATATTGTTAATAAAGATGAAACTAACCTTTAAATTATTTTTGTTTGCTAAAAAAAGAAATCACTTACCAATTTTAATTTATTCTCCATGATTTTTTTTGTTAAGAAAAAAAAGGTTGATAGTAGTTTTTATTAAAACAAAAATAGACATCACTTTCCATTTTTAATTTATCTTTTTTTTTCTCATCTTGTAAAAAAATATCTTGAAAAATTATTTTTTATTATTCTTTTTACAAAAGAAACAGTCGCATTAAATTTATAGTTACACACTGGAATCAATATAATAAATTGTGCACAAAAATGATTGAATCTAATGATTAAATCATTTTGTTGACAGGATAATCTAACTTTTTTTTTTAATTATATAGATAAATGATATATTATTCATTTATAGTCTAAGTATACAATTCAATTTTATTTTAAAAGATTGTGGCATGACTATACAATAATATTTCAAGTCCAAATTAAAAATTCAATCTTGAATAGTTTTTTTAATAATATCAACGTACACCTCTTTCCTTACTCACATTTTATGAAATACTTCCTATATTTCATTGCTAATATAATTAGTCACAAAATTGTCTCAAATTAATCTTGAAGTTCGTATAAACTTATTATAATTTTGTTAATTTAAAAAAATATTTGTTTTGATTATTGAATTATTTTCATTTACTGACAAAAATCAGATTAGTTATTATACAGTATATCTTCTGTAATTTTAGGTCGTTCTCCATTAAGAATTTTATAAATAAAATTATGAACATGTTTAACATTATCAAAAATATCATTTTTAAATAATTTGTCTTTTTCATTAAACCTCTATACAAACTTTTAGAATGTTTAAAGTATATGATATTTTAAGGGAAAATTTAACTTTAAGTGCTGTGCCACAAAGTATACATTCTGAACATGCCTACATAGATAACACGTGATGATATATGTTATCTCTTAACTTCTAATAAATTTAAACAGCGGCAAACCACAACAGATAAAAAAAAATTATATTCTCATTTTTTACGCAATAAATTTAGGCTTTATTAAAATAAATTAAAGGACTTCGGATTAGAGTATCAACACCCCAACCTATCCCAGTTATTATTTTAAATAATAATATAATAAATTAATAATAAAATTATTTTATGACAAAATCTAAAATATATTATGAAGATGACTTATTATTGCTTGTCACAATCTTGAATATTTACAAGATATACAGTATATACAGTACAAAGAAAAGAAATAAAAATGTATTGGACCACATATAATTCGTTATTATAGTCATGCAAATATGCTTTTAAGTAAAGATTTTTTTTTCAATAATTAGCCTGCCTTTTATACTATAAGCAAAATTGTGCCACTTTTTGATAGTACAAACACAAAATAAACTACTATAATTTCACAAATAATACGATTATTAATAATGTATCCGCTGACAGCTCTTTCAATCTAAGCTGCTAGTACAGCAAATCCGCGAAAAATTTTGATGAAACAATTAATTTCATTAATTTGTGCAAATGAAGTCAACAACATTAGTTAATACACCTGAACTGTTAGATACAGCAGAAAATCCAGGATATGACAATTCCATTTTAACTCTTGAATTATAGAACGATATAGTTAAAGAAACCCAGATTTTGAGGTTGAAATGAAGTTGCGAATAAAGTTACTTGCGATGAGATTTAGAAGAGTTAATAGTAAAAAAATAAAAAAAATAAAAAAATATGAATCTGAAAAATTGCAATAGTCAGTAATTTTAAAATACAAGAGCTAGTATTATTTAAATAGTGTGAGTTGGTATTAAAAATAATCTATTTACACATATCACATGTTATTTATATTTTTTTAATAACCTGACTACTAGCTACCCGATAACAAATTTCTCAAGTGTCCCATCGCTCCTTTTCGTCTCCTATCACTCCTCTTCATATATATATATATTATTTTTTTAATTTTAGTAAAGTGTCCCATATATTTTGAATTTTGCTGTAAAGATTATAGTATACTAGAACAAGTTTAGGGATATAGGAGCGCAAATAATGATGTCATCAAATGATCTATGATCAGCAGAAGATTTGTTACAGAAAGCCAAGGCGGAAAGTAATTTTTTGTTTCAACAACTAAGCAGTTGGTACTCAATGAAAGAATGGCTATCGTTCTTTTTAATAAATAAAGGAAAAATAGTAAAAGAGCCTCAAAAGGATGCCTTTTGATTAATAATTCTTTTCTCAAAATTAGCATTCTCGAGATTTGGCACTGATTAGTTCATGTATCGTTGTAGCATAATAAGTTGTAAAAACATAATTAATACATGGATAACAAAAGAGATATATCTTTAAGCATAAACAAAAACCATGTTTTAGTCATCTCACGTCTAACTGAAATATGTTAAAATATGTTATGTAACGTTCTAATTGAATATAAGAAATATCAGAAACAGTGGCTCTCATTCTAGACGTCACATTAACGCAAGTAAATAATCAAAGTCTCATTTTTAAATAAAAAAATCTCAATTTAATATTTACTATTAATATCGAAAAAGCTCAACATGGAAATAAGATTTTTTTCAGTTTACTATGAAACTCATTCAAATTTTAAATTTTAAATTTTATTTAAATGTAATTAATACAACGAATATATCAAATCTCAAATATAGAAAAATAATAAATATAAGAGGTAATAAAAGTATTGTCTAACTTGTAAACTTCTTAAATTTTTTAATCAAATTTTTTCTTGTGGTTGATGAAGATGCAGATGTAAAACTTTCATTATTTTCTTCTCCCTTCATTGTTTTCTATTTATATTAATTAATAAATATTAAAAATAAATTATTTTAAAAATAAATTCAATAAAATTCTCTTAAATACATACCTCAATTTCACTAACAATAAATGTGTAAGCATTATAAGCATGAGATACTAATAAACAAGTAGGAAACAATTTTTCAATCAATTCTTGCTTAATATCACCAGTCCACAAATCTAAAGTGAAATCCAAAATATATGTATTTAAATTCTGATCTTCAATATTAAAATTAACTAATAAAAATCTATAAATAAATCTTTTTAAAGCAAGAGCCAATGCTTTAGCAGGAATAAGTTGTTGACTTTGACTATTATAACTCACAACCTTATTGATTGAATCCTTCATTTGCTGCATTAATGGAATTTTAAATTTATCATCTATATTGTGAATTATTGAATTAGCAACTTGTTCTTCAATTAATTCATAAAATGCAATAATATGTTTTAAAGAAAACTCTTTAAGTATATCTATAGTTGCTATATTATATCTCGCTAATTTCAACCATTGGTCAACAAAATCTAAAATAGGTATACTATTATTTTGAATTGATAATTCTTTGATAAAACAAAGCATTATTTCAAAAAGAAATAGTAATTCAGATAGATTAGCTGAATTTGTTGAACTATTTAAAATTAATGAAGAATTTGATTGCTGAAAGAATGTCAATATCATTAGAATTTTATCTCCCGGGATAGGTACTTGTAGTAATACTTTTTTAATATCAAAAAGAATTTTTGGAGAGTTATGAAATAATTCATATTTGAATGAAAAGTTTTTTAAATAAAATTGATTATTTTCCATTTTAAAATAAACTTTATCAAAAACTAATTTTCTTGCTAATTTCATTTCGATTTTTTGTAAATCAAATATAAAGTTTACATTTCCCTTTATACCCATATTTCTTTGATTATACTTTAAAATCTTATCATTCCATTCATAATTAATAAAATTATTATCTTGTGCTTGTGCTACTGTAGATATAATAAAATACGTTTTAGAATTTAAATAATTCCAAGACAAATTCTTTATAAAGTCAAGGCTTTTACATTCTTCAATTGGAATATTTATAATATCGTCTAAAAATTCATTGTGTAATTTAATTAAAAAGTCTAAAATTGCACATAAGTAAATTCCATTATTTTTTTGTTCAACTAATCCAAAAATTACAGGAAGTTCAAGATTCATATGTGGCTTATTGAGTAATTCTTCAGATTGATATTGATCAATATGGCTGATAATAGAATTCCAACTAATAGCAAATTCTTCAAATAAAGATTTTAAATTAGCATATTCATTATCATCTGCAGATTCTTTTTTAATAAATTCATGAAATGTCATAATTTGAGCTGTTTTTCTAGTTAGATGATATTCAAGTTTAAAGCTTAAAATTTTTACAAATCTAATAATTGGATGAAGGTGTTTAATGAAATTTAAGTTCTTATTATGTTTAAAAAATACTGAAAGTAAAGGATATTTATCCAAATTATTATTATAATATGTATGAAAATCTTTAAAATTCACTTTTATGATTGATTTCCAAAGTTTAGGAGGAAAATACATTTCCATATTGGTAATTGACTCTATATTAGTAAAATTTTTAAAAAATGTAAACTCTTTCTTTAATATTTCGAGTTGCTTTATATCAAAAGAACTTTGTTGATATAAAATTAGCATAAAATAAGATCGTATTGAATGCATAAATAGATTACCACTGATTTTCATAACATTATTAATTTCTTTAATTAATGACTTGGATAAAGAATTATCTTTTTGGAAGTAATTCTTCCAGTATTTATTTATAAATTCTTTTAAAAATGCAATTGAAGTTATTTGTTGTAAAGGCAAATCTTCTTGATTTGTAGATGATTCAATTGAATTCTTAAAATAAGGTAACAATTCATTTAATTCAAATTGATTGAAAATTGATTGAATTATTTCACAGCAAGACTCAGCCATATTTGAGTTGATGTCGTTAATATTATCATTAATAGTTTTCAATCTAATTGAAAGTTGTAAAGCCCTTTCGGAATTTTTAATTAACATGAAAAATATTTGTTTGTTTTGTTGGATTTCAGTAGTAAATATTTTTTTAATTATACCATTATTCATTAGTTTGAAAGAATATTGTGAAAATATATGTTTGTAAAGAGTTAAACGAATTTCTGATTCCAAAGAAATAAGGTTAAGGCTTCTTTTAATAAATGATGTAATAGGAATTTCATTATTGTTATTGTCTAAATTACTAAATACCAAATTGATAATTTCAGTTGTAATAATTTCTTGGTTTTTGGTGGATTTTCCTAAATTAATAATTTCTTTGATTTTTTCTAATGGAATTGTATTAATATTTAATAAATCATTGCATATAAATAATAAGTGCAAGTTTGAAAAATTCTTTGAATCATTAATTTTATAATATATGGATGAAATAAAATCCATATCTTGTTTCCATGGTTTATCATCACATATATTTTGTAAAATCAAATTAATTGATTCTTTGAAAAGGTATCGATCAAGTTTACCATATACAATAAAATCATTCTGAGCTTTTGTAATAAGATCTGGAAATGTTTCAGCCAATTTTAATTGAATTAGAATTTCTGCAGCATATTTCCACCAATGAGTATGAAGAATAAATGGATTTACAATTTTATCATCAGTTATTCCAATTAAATGTCTTAAAATAAAATCCAATTTCGTTGAATAAATTGATAAATTTATTTTAATAAAATCATTATAATACAACTCTGAATATTTTTGCAAATATTCAAAATTTGGATATATAGAAATCAAATTGTTCTTAAAATCTTCAAGATGATTTTCAATTAATCCATCATCATTTTCTAAAACTTGCTTTAAAATATCTAGTTCCTCATAATATACCCTTTTATAAGAATCAATTTGATCAAAGAAATAATATGAAAAAGGAAATTCGAGATCATTAATAATTAAGTGAGATATTTTATATATAGAAGGTTTTGGTTCACATAAACTATTAATATTGATTATTGTATTATCCATAAAGAAATGTTTCCATAAATCGGATAATTCATTTTTTATTTTAGATTCCTTATTGTTATAATTGAAAAATGTAGCTACTGCTGATAAATTTTCAAGTGAATATATAATTTTAGCAACAGTCTGCTTAATAATTATTCTTATATAATCTTGTAAAGCCAGTGATAAGCAAGTAAATTTTGATAAATACGTTTTATCTAAAACTATTTCATATTGCCAATTTTTGCAATTTTCTAAAACCCATTCAAAAGTTTTAGTTTTAATACAATTTACAAAAATCGAATTGCTTAAAATTTGATTACCCAACGTACTACAAAAATGAAATTTATACAATAAATTAGTAATGTTATAAATAATCTTCTTTAGTAAGACATAAAGCTACCATACCTGATATAATTTACATTGGAATGTTGATATTTTATACATGATAAACACCATAATAATTCATTTTTAAGAATTTTTTCAAATGGCATTGTTGAATCAACTATTTTTTCAAAAAGCTCCGAATTAATTGTTTTATATAATGACTTATCCAAAAAATTCGCTAACGGTGCCTCTGATGATTTTAACGATTCAATAGTAATTTGTTTCCAGCCGCAAATAAAACTAGATTTTATTAAATTTGATTCATAGTCTCGTCGAATATGAAATATTATACATGCATGCTTAATAGTCGTATTTATTTCACATGTTTCTTTTTTGGCCAAAAACTCGCTTCGAAACTGTTCAATAATATACTTCACTAATTTGACACATTTAATATTAATAGTATTAATATCACACTGAAGAATTAAAACTTGATCTATTGATTCAAAAAAGAAATCTTTTACAATTTTCGATATTTGAACTTCGGTCTTAATGGTCGACAAATTATGTACTTGATATCTTAAATAATCTTGTAAACAAGATTTAAAATCTACTGTTATCTTAGAAAATGTGTTTATAATCACTAATTGTCCCTTAGGATCTGAACACAATTTATCTTGATCAAATAAGGCGTCAAAATAATTGGAAAGGCCATTATGATGTTGTTGATTGAAATAAACATGTTTCCACCGATCAACTTCATCTTGTTCTAAAATTGATAATCCTGCTCTTATAATTCCATCAGCAGATGCTATTGCAATTAATGATTCTTTACATTTTTCTAAAATCTCATTATCATTAGCTTCGAGATTATTCTTTGTAATGTAAAACATTAAACTTTGTAAAGTTTCATCTTTATTAAATCCAATGAATAAATCCCTTCGGGTGAATCTATTATTTAAGTCAATCCCTGAATTAGTTTTAACCAAAGTTGACATTTGCTTTATCCAATTGTCTAAATATTCAATAAGTAATTTTTGTTTATCGTCAAGCATATCATTTATTGACAATTTTTGCTTTTCAAATCGATTAAAAAGTGAGGGGTTAACCGAAGTTAAATTACTCTCATCCATAACAACAATGCATTTAAAATACTGCGAAACGTAACTAATAAAAATATAGATTAGAAGTTTTCTTTTGAATATGTATTTAAAACTCATAATGTAAATCATAATTTCAATGACTACTCACAGCATAGGATTAGCATACGCCCCAAGTGCCACTCGTGTAAAGTATTTAGGATTATCCTTGTCTCCTACTACAATATAACTTTGATTCCATAAATCATAAAGGTTTCCTATTAAGCAAAAAAACAAATAAAACAAATTTATTTCTTTGATTAATGAATTCACATTGGATATTTCATATCTGAAATGTTAGTAAAATTTAGAAATTACCATAAATTATTTCTAAGTCTGTTAGAATCAATGGTCTACCTGCTTCTACACACATCTGAAATAATAGTATACATCAATACATACGTGTACAACAAATAGATTAAAAAAAAATAAATTACAGTGGAAAAATAAATAATTATTTACCATTATTCTACTTAAAACACTGTAAGAATAATCATCCTGATCGTCAGGAAACTGTGATCCTAAAATTACAACGGGATCCAAATCTCTTCGTTTTAACTGATAAGTTAATAAATTTACGATCGAGTCACTTTTACCAATAACCATTAAATGACGTGCATCAGAATCATCTAAATTTGAATTGATCAATTTTTTAACAGAAATTTGTTTATAAAACCATGGTTTATGATTATTAAATGTCTTAAGTACGCCTCCAAAATATTTTTCGTATAATTTGTTATTTTCTGTTCCTCCAAAATTGCGAGCCAATGCCACTTGTATATTCTCTGGAGTCATTTCATCTAATGAAAGCTGTTTGACCAATGCGTAATAGTCGCGAAGACCATGAAAGTTAGGCAAAGCTTGGCCATTTTTTTCGTAATCCATATATGCTTTAGCTAAAGGTTCCAAAGCGTCTCTTTGTCCATAACCAATAACCCTTGTATTTAATAAGCGCTCAGTAGTATCAACTAAATCATCTAAACTAAATTGTGGCCTATAAAAAAATATAAATGTTATATAAGAAAATCTTGCAAAATTTTATGAATTAAACTGATATAATAATACCTCTGAACGAGTAATGCGCGGCTACTTTTACTATTATCTAAACGCCAACTAGATATTCCTATCACTGAAACAGTTGGTCCTGTGGCCGGATAGCTCGGCTCAAGCAGAGAATGAAGTACTTTTAATGGATTAAAAGGACTTGTTTCAGCCAAACCAACTAATAAAATAAATTCGGTCAACTTCAATTAAAAACCCAACAAAATAATGCAATAAAGATCGCAAGGGAAATGAAAATTACCTTCATCAAGTAAAACAACACTGATAACAGGAAATTGTTTAGAAGTCGTTTCTTGATATTCATTTGCCTTAACAAAAACTTTTATTAAACCGTCAGAAGTTGAAGATGAAGATCCTTGATATGGAATCATGTAAATCTGTGGTAACTTTCTGAAATATTTATCATTTGAATCAGATCCGCGTAAATTCGAACTTATAAGACGAATTGCCAAAGATTTTGAAGAGCCAGTGGTCCCTATAAGAAACAGTGGGATTCGTGTCAAAATGCATACAATCATAGCAAAAACATTCTCTAATAAAGCTTCATTATATGCCGTATTAAGTGGACATTGCATCCTGTTAATATAATCTTCTTGTTCTTCGCGAATAATTTTGGCAAACATATGCTCCCCTATATAATCTTCATGATTTTGTAATATTTGTCCCATTTCGCGACGATATTGTTTGCGTAAATTTTGATCATATAATCGAGAATGGTAACAGAGACTAAGTGCTAAAACATAAGATCTAGTTGTTATAGTTGGATTTCCAGGTGGTGGATATTTGTGACCCTTCTTGTAAACCGGACGATTTTCAATAGAATTATAAAAGAATTTCACCAACGTTATAGCTCGTTTAACATCACGTAAGCTAACACTATATGGTTCTTCAACCTTTCGAATAAATTTTTGAGAAACAAATAAAAGTTCGGCAAATACCGGATGTCCTAATTTTTTTAATTCTTTTTCAACCATGATTTCAATATACTTTAATTCGTCTTTTGGTCTTAATACACCATAGTCCCATACATAATCCATAATTTGATCGGGAAGTGGTTTGACTTGATAAACAAGATTGCTATGTTCTTCATACCTTTTCACCTTATTTGTCAAACCAGCTTCACTTTGAATTCTTGTATGATTACGATATGGATTGCAGGCAGAGAATAGACGAATATTCGGATGTATAGGTTTGCCCTTAAGCATTCGATGAGATATTAAATCTGCAAGTAAACCTATATGATTGCAAGTATTGATCTCATCAAAGAATAACCAAATTTCTCCATTTTCTGCTTTTTTCAAAGCATCATTCATAAACCTCATAATAATTCCTTCATCAATTCCAGCATGAAGATTAAGAGCTAAGAATTGAACTTCGACCATCATAGCCAAATAGGTAATTAAGCTTGTCTATGTATGAATTATGAAATTGTTAATAACAGAATAGATAAAAAAATTAGATTAAAATAGATTTTTTTTACCTTGCCACACCCTACTTCACCACAAACTATGACCGGAATGTTTGCACGTGTTCTTAGAAGAATTAAAGCCATCTTTATTAAATTATCACCAGACAAAGCATATTCAGGAAGTTCTAATTTTTCCGTCGATCTTCGTGCCAAATATTCCAACCTTACGAAGAGGGCATTTGTGGACATCGAATTATAATCATCTAGTTCCCATTTTGTTTGATCGCCAATTATTTGACTTTTTAGTAAAACCTTAACATTATCATGAACCTTTTTTCTGTCACGATATAAAGCTGAGATGGTATTTAGTTTTTGAGAATTGAAGAATCCTAGAATATGGTTCGAATCATCCCATTGAACAATTGTACTAAGACGGGCATTGTTAGCATCTGCAGCTATAGATTCTAATTGTGCCACTTTGGTCTTAACCGATCTGGTCGCGAAATCTTTTGAAACATCTATTAAGCTTTTTACTATTAAAGTTTTAATATTAGTTTCTTTTACCATTAATGTAAGATTGTCTACAGTAAAGAATTGACTTGATGATAGGCGAAGCAATTGATCAGCAAGTACATTAATAAATATTTCAACAAATCTAAATGAAGAAATATCTGCAGCATTTTTGTTATTAAAGAAATATTTTGCAATAAGATTTTGACAGCGTTCTATTGGTAATGGGTTTTTGATTGTCTTATCTATCCGGAAAAGAGTTTCTTTTGTATCTATTTCATTACGATCTAATAAATTCAAGTAACTACAAGCAACCTGCATTGGACTGTTGATTTCTTGAGAAACTCTCAAATTCTTAATATTCCATGACAAATGATTGAATAGTAAGTAACTTGCCATAGGAAGAGAATTAAGTAAATGTTGCTTTGTTGTTGAAGCTATTTCAATAAATATATATGTGGGCGTTTCCGAAGGAGGTAAGCAGGCTATATCAACATTAGTAAAAACTATACCCAAAGTTAATAACTCAAATAAGAACATGTTAACATCCTCAGGATGGTCTGATGATACTATATTAATATGTAAGCTTTCTACGGGTCGGAGTTTACATTTTTTGAATTGACGTACAAGTCTACCGAACTCCATATCATCACTTATTAATATGCTACGAGGAATTTTCTTTTTAGCGAAACTAGCTTCTTTAATCCATTCAGTTTTACCTTGTCCTGATAAGTCGGAAGAAACACGTATAACATTCTGACACAATTCTCTATAAATTTGGCTCATTGTATCAGTAATTAAACCATTGGTTGCATGAACATCCAATGAAAATTGATCTAAAATATGATGATGCATTCCAGTTTCCCTACAACAAATAAGCGCCAAAAGATATTCCTTATCTTGATCATGTATTCTTTGCATTGATCTAATTTGGTTAACTAAATTATATTGTAGTTCAAATTCCAATAGTTCCAAATTTGCAATACAAAATAAGTGATTTTCATATCCATTTTTTGATGCATAAAAACTTCTTTTAATGAAAATAGTAAGTTCTTCCATTGTAGTTATGGAAGTACATATGAGGAGTTGCCACGGCTCGGGATAATATCCATGATTAGTATACAATGACATAATAACATTTGAAACTCTTGATTTGTCAGTACAAGCCGCAACAAATAATTTTCCCTTTGTAACAATATCTGACATTACGCGTTGCCCAGCAGCTTTAGGTTTACGAGATTGTTTTGGAACGTTTCTAGAAATTCTTTCTAATTCATTTCCAATTTCGGTAAGAATTTCAAGATAATTTTTAGATCCACGTAAAATTTTTTGTATATCCTTACGAGTTGTCGGTAATTGGGCTTTACTATTTACAAATCTAATCAATATTTTGCATTCTTCTTCATTATCCTTATCTAATTTTTCTGACGTGAAATAATCATAGAATGCTAAAATGTGGCGAGCGAAAAAGAATGTCAAATAATAACATCTTTGTTGTGCACGATCTACTATACTTTGCCTTAAATTTGTAAAAATTACAAACTCGTTAATTTTCTTACAATAAAGAATAACAAAGCAATAATATCAAAAAAATAATTGAAATTCACCATTCTTTAAGTTCTTCCTTTAAAAATTTCAGGTAATCTTTCATATTATCCGTTCCTTGTAATTTATTTTCGAATTTTCTATAACCAAAATGCCCCATTAGTATTAACATGGACACTATGTTAATTATTTCTTGAACAATATCAACTTGGGCAACAAATTTATCCATAACATCTTTGGACATTTCTGCCTCTTCGTTATTTATTATATCCGAATTTTTTTGGTTTGCAATCAAAAGAGCCCGTCCACGTAAATCTAATATTTCGTTTAGATTATATTTCACATTAGATTTAGAGGGATATTGTAAAGAAACTAAGCATTTGTCTTCTTTTTGGTTAAGTGTAAATGTGAAGGTCCCATTAATTACGGCATTCTTGATTTTTTCTTTAGTAACTTCTCCACGATTTTGAATATTATTGTACATATTTTGCAGCGCCATATTGCTACTATTACATAATGCAATCTTTTCTCCTAAGGTATAGTTCTTCTTAATGACATTTAATAGTTCTTTCAACAAATCAGAAATAGCTTCCATATTTTTATTCATAAGAGGAAATAAAAATTGTTTAACTTGGATGAGTGATGAAACAGTATCTTCTTGAATCAATCTTTCCTCCGAATGATCATACACACCATTAATCAGATTTTTAATATCATGTTCGGCAATTTTTTTTAAGAAACTTAAAAATTCTTCAGCGCTTGATAACTCTTTTATCAATTTCCAACAATCTTGATTAACATTAGAAAGATTCCTATCAAGGTAATCGAAAAAATTATTAATTTGCCCAAGGTGCATGGAATCATCTTTTAAAATACGAATTGCTTTTGATAGCCAATCATCTTCATTGTGTGGTACTTTGAAGATTTCCATTTCCACGACCTTTTCTAGCTCTTCGAGTCGTTGGGCCCAATGAGGAATTTTTGAAAGATAATCAAGAGTCTGCACAAACCTTTGACTTTTAGAGATTATACAGCCTTCCATCAAATCAAGCTCCGAACTAACATCTGTAACATTTTTCCAAAGCAAAGATGCTTCTGAGCATTTGAACTTTTCCCAATCCTTAAGTTGTATACACATAGCATTATACTTTTCAAAGACAATTGGAATTAATTTTTGAGCGATGTATTCTACGTTTATTGCAGCAGCGTCTTCCTTAATACAAAAATCGAAGATATTTCGAAAAGCTTGAGATCGATTAAATTTGTAGCAATTTCTTGCACTGTCCATAGTTTTCTCATGGAATGCCCAATGATCTGATAAGAGCACTTGTTTCACCTTTGTTTTATCTGAATTTTGCAAATGTTGTTTTAAATCTCGAATATAATCAGCTACATCTGTTACTTTATCGTTTGGACAAAATCCGTTATAAAATTTGGAAAGTACATCGAGTTGATTTTGATAATTATTACATATCTTTCTAAGTTTTGCAATTTCATCTCGAGAAACGATTACGTCTCCTAATGCTTTCTTCTCAGCAACAGCCGCATCAAAATGTCGAAATAGATATTCGTCATTAAATTCTAAAATTTTTTGCAATAATTGGACATCAATAGTTTTTTCAAGAAGAAATCCAGCAAGTTCATTAATAGACATTTTAATAATTTTAACAAATGGGTTTGAGTTAAGTTTTGCGACGTTTCCAATAGCGCGTAATATAATATTCCAAAATTTACTAGCCTTTAAAATATTCAAATAATGTTCTGAAGCGCTGGATACAGTCGATTGGCTTTGCAATATAGTCATAATATGATACAAAATATCTTCGCTTATCCTAACGATTTTTTAATAACAATAAAAAAAAAAATATTAAAGCATTAACATATTTAAGAGACAAAAAATTATTACAAAAAAACTTACATGTTTGGAACGTCCAGAATCTCGGCTGTTTCGCAATCGCAAATAATGCGTATCTTATTCAACAGCTGATCATAAGTTTGTTGAGTAGACTTATTTAACATGTCTTTTACCATCTCTAAAAATAATACTTCAACATTATCTTGCTTTATTTGTACTATTAATTTTGTTGCAGCAAAGATTCGGTCTTCTGAACAATTCTTCACTCTATCTATGGCAATTGTTGTCAAATCTCGCCAAATATTAATCCTTTGGCAAAGCAAAGGATGCATAAGTTCTAATTGTTGAAATACCAAAAAAATAAAATTGCTCTCGTTTTTATTACTTGTGCTTGTATCGAGTTTGGAGAGAAGATTTTTAAACCAAATTACACAAATTTTTGGTATCTTTTTCTCTTTGGTATCTGAAAAATCACTACGGAACCAATCGTCTAAAATTTCAGGAAATATTTTTAATAATTCCAAAGTATGTGACTGAGATATTAGCTCTAATGATTGAATAACTTCATCTCTGTGCCAAACCAGACTATTATCATGTAATAATTTTTTAATAGCATCGATATTTTCATATGTCCACTTTTTATTAGGACTTTCAAGTAAAGATATAACTTGATTTCGGACGATTCCTGAAACACGGTCTCGATAATCTTTCGAAAGGCTTCTAAAGTAGCATTCTAAGGCAACAGCATCACCATGAGATCGAATTTGTCCAATAAAACACTCAAAAAGATTACAATCAATTTCGTTGTTATGAACAAGAACATCATTCCAAATTTTTAAAAGAGAGTCAATATTGTGACATAATTGGAGTAACCACTAAAAATTTAAAAAATGAGTAATTAAAATCAAATCAAATCAGAATTTAAAAATTTTTATCCAAAATTTACCTTTGCGATTTCAACATAAGATTCTAATTTAATATTCTCAGTATAAGTTTTAATGATTTTATATCTTTCAATAAATTTTGTTAAATTTTCATTAGAATACTTTAAGCCTTTTAAGTGATTAATGAAGGTATAATTGGGATCAACGTTAGTCGCAATTGAAAAGATAATAAGCCACTCGAATTTCATCTGAAAAGCATTATGCTGGATTAAAGCTAAAATAGCAGTGTACATTTGATCTTTGGCGTCTAAAGGCAAACTTTCTTGTTTATAATTCTCAAGCGCGTTAAGTAATAAGTTAGATGGGAAATTATCCGGAAGTTCATAGGACAAGCCTTCTCTTTTTGAAATATAATACCCTAAGAGAATACATAAGAACAGTCGTTTTTCTGTAATATTGTCATCAATTCGATCGATAATAAATTTGGGATTTGATGCATGAATGGTAAGATCACTGTGGAGGGTCAATAAGTGTTGATAGTCTAAAACTTTATCTCTAAGGTTATTAATTTCGATAGAATTATAAATATAATCTATAAAAGAAAAATCATCACGTATTTTCCATATATCAAATTGATCGTTTCTCTGAACATCCAACGTACGATTATCTCCAGCATCAATTTCATTAAATCCTTCAAATTCAAAATTTTCTCTTCTGGATGTAGGATCAGATTTAGGTATATGAATAGCATATTTGTATTGAATACTAGATATAATAGATATCGAAACAGGATCAGATTTCCAATAAGTTCGATTTTGTTGACGAAGTTTTACAATAGGCCTTCCCCACGCTCCTAGTTCGTCTGCATCACCAAGAACTACGGGCTGCCCAATTTTTTCAATATTTTCTGGCAAGTAAACGTGAAAATTAAATGTTTTTTTTCTTTCCATTAAAATTAAAGTTTACATGAAATGCATGAAAAGCATGAAAAGAAAAATAAAAAAAGTGAGCAGCGATTTTTATTATTAAATATGTTACACGAATAACCTGTGCCACATTTTCATATGACGAATCCATGATGATTAATAAATAATTTTCAGTAGCACAAAATCCGAAATGATTAATAAATGAGATAATAAAATTTAAAACAAAGTTTAAAAAGGGAAATCCAAAATTATCTTAACCCAACGGATTAGCAGTATGTCTGTATATGAAAAATGAATTCATAGAGAAGACTCGATCGAATAAACAAGTGATCCTAGAAAAAAAACTTTGTGACATAATTCTCTTGCTATGTATTAATATCATTTCGTAGTTCATCTGGCGATCAATCGCCCGAATTTGAATGCTTTATTGTTGTTTCGCTTTTAAATAGCAACTGGGATTTCGATTGTAACACGTAAAATATTTGTCAATATATTTCGAGTATATAACACTTAATGAAGGCAGTGGAAAAGAATTATTTTATTATCGAGCAATCACAAAAAGGTATTTCGCAATAACAAATTCCAACAAGACCAAATATAATTTGTTCGTATTATGCTCATTGCCATGTTTCATTCAGATATATTAATATCTTGTCTATATTAACTTTCGTCTTTCCTTTCTCTTGTCTTATTTTTGTTATTTTCGTTATTTTTTTATTTTGTTATTTTTTTTTTTATTTTAAAAAAAATTTTCTTTCTTTTCTTCGTCACCCCCCTTTAAAAAAAAAATTTTTTTTCGTACCTCCCTTTAAAAAAAAATTTTTTTCGTCACTCTCCTTTAAAAAAAAATTTTTTTTTTGATTTTAATCTTTTATTCTCCACTCGCCACCCTTTCTTTTTTTTTTAAAAAAAATTCTTCTTTCTATTTCCTCTTTATAAAAAATTTTTTATTTCCCCAACCCTGACGTTCTTCCTTTTAAAATAAAAAATTTTTTTTAACTTTCCTAACTTTGTCACCCCTCTTTTTTTAAAGAAAAATATTTTTTTTTTGATTTATTATTTTATTCCTCACTCGCTACTCTTTCTTTTTTATTTATATTATTCCTTTTTTTATTTCATAGGCCAGCAGATTTTTTTTTGTGGGAAGATTCGGTTTCTTTTTTCTTTCTTGTAGATTAGTTTGGGAGTCCTTTTCTTTTTGTAGGATGGGGATTTTTTCTTTTTTTTTTGATAAGTTGGGTTCAGATTCTTCTCTTTTATGTAGGTTAGACATTCTGGAGTTCTCTTTCTTTTTGTAGGAATGCTGACACTTGGTAACTTGGACGATTGCAGATACTACATGAACCTGAACTTATAGATAACTTTGGTTGCAATAGGTGGTTTTGATAAGGGACGGAATTTTATAATGTATTTGTATTTTGTTTTTTATTTTTATTTAATTTAATAAAGTAGAATTAAATTTATGTAAGTACAACTATAATAAACTGTAATATAAATAGTAAATTCAGTGCCACATCCGGCACATCGTATATGATAAAATCGGTGATCAAATCATGTAAATTCCATACGAATCCTATATTTTTATTTTCAACGGACTATTATGATACGTTATTTCTAAGGTAAAAAACGTATCCAATTTTTTTATAGGGTTTCTAATTTCTATAGCAAATTTTATGTTCCATATAAAAATTACATTTTGTTTGGCCAGTACTAATTAGAATGCCCTTTTTATAGCTAATTATATAATTAAATAAAATTCGTTATTTCTTTTTACCTTTACATTGTTGATCGTACCATACCAATTACATCATATCGTACCGTACTAATTTACTATATACTCTTTCTAATAAAACAATATTAATAAATGAAATGAGATATATGTTTCATTGTTTCACCACACCACACTGACCAAATTTGATGCTATTGTGATTGATGCAACCTATGGAACTAATAATTTGTAATGGGAATTGTATGCAATCATGGGTGTAATTGATGGCATTGGATTTCATCTCAGCTATCTCTTAATTTCAGCTGGAAAAAATAGAAATATAACTAACGGCCATTTTATGACTTTCCCAGCGTAACCTGAAAAAAATGTCATGAAATCACGTGATGTTTTTTTGCCACAACCGTCACACCCCACCGCGTTGTCATTTTCTATAAGTATCTGAGGGACTTAGTTTTTTCGAGTAGGTAAAAACTTATTCGTCACACATTATTCGTCACATGTGTGCCACACTTAATTTCAGTCAAGTTGCGTAATGCCGGCCATTTCGTGACATTTTTTCCAGGTTACGCTAGGGAAGTCCCATTTTATTAGCTGCGGCAAGTATTACAAGAGTTAAAATTATAAACTTATACTATAAATAAACTAACATCCCACGATAAGCCACTTTAGGCCGTTTTTACTATATCCTAATGTAGGGTGGGAAATGGGAGGGTAGTGTGATTATACTTGTCCTACGTTAATCATTGATTTTAAAATGCATTTCGTAGAACTCATACATTTTATAAAATCAATATCATAACTTCGGATTAAGTATAATCACGTGCTACTGCGGAGATTAACTAAATATCCATCGCATCAAACTCGTTTTTGTTTTATCATGACATCAATTGTTTTTTCATACGAGTAAACAGTTGTTTATATAGGCTTCAGAAAATTGGATAATGATGTTCGCTCGTCATAATCCGAATTGCTAAAAAAAATTGTTGCCACATATTTTGTTAGAATTTTTTAACCATAAACAAATAAATTACGTCCTATTTTTTTAAATGTATCCAATAAACACAAATTCATGTTTATTTATGAATATACATTGTATTATTTTTGGTCAGATTGAAGGCCTCGGTAAGTTCCACTAATACTAATAAATAATAGAGTAAAGTTTTTTTGTTTTCAATTATATTTAATAAAAATGAAAAATAGCGATTAATTTAAAACATAAATAAAAATTGCGATTTTAGTTACATTTAAATAAAAAATTGTGCTAATTGTGTTTTTATGTTTTAAAATATTAATTATTATTTGAATGTCAATTAAATAATACTAATAATTTACTTTTTTGTATTTGATTTTGGATTGACCGGATAAATTAATGGATGATCTTCTCTAATTAACCGGCTGATCAACTTTTTTTCGTCATAATAAATGAAAATTTTATTAAAAAGGATTTAAATGATAATTTTTTTATCGCGCTTTTCAAAATTCTGCTACCCCCATACAAATCACCTAATAAAAAGGTTTATCAGATTATCAAATGATCAGAGATTATAGCCAATAAGCGTCTACGGGGTAGCAGAATTCTGAAAAGCGCGATAAAATAAAATTTTTTAAATAAAATATTAATATTTTTTATTCGTAATTATAAATATTCTTTGATAAAAATGGATCTACCAAATAATCTGACGTAATTAACTGGGCGATTTGATTTTTAATAAAAAGCATTTTTTTTTAAAAAAAATTAAATATTAATAATTTTTTCTTATTTTTTAAGTGGAATTACAGATATTTAGATTCAAAACACTTGCAAATCACAAATTAAATTTTGATTACAAAAGAAAATTTCTGTAAAAATAATATATAAGCATCAAGCATGTTTAATACATATCTTAAAAATTAATATACTTTAATTTGTAAATCTGTAAATTAATTTATATTTAATTTGTATAATTTGAGCAGTAGTAGATGAAATGAACGTATTTCTTACAGCTAAGTCTGAAAATGAAATTGATTCATTATTTGATAAGATTCAAACAGCTGAAGAAAATATGTCTGGTTTGTAAATTTTTGTAGTTTTTTAATATAATTTTATGACAATATTATTTAATTTTTTTTATTAGATTGGATTTCATTTTATCGGCAAAAGTGGGTGATCGGATCTTAGATATGAGATTTGGATAAACACTCCTAACAGCACCAATGCTGCAGAAGCTGCGCATGCACCAAGTAATCATAGAGAAAGAATCTCAAATTAGTTACAGCAATTTTTCAGTATGTAGATATTTTTATTATAGCAAAAAACAAATATAATAATATATATATTTTTTTATTATTAATTATAGAGGAAGAAAATTAGATAAGGAAAGATTTACTACTATTCATGTTCATAAAAAATTTAATGTATTACACATGACTCTCAGAATCATCATTCAACTCTTCATTATAACTAAATATTCTTACAAATTTCTTGTGGGACATCTATAAATTAAAAGGGATGGTTAGTTTTCACTAAGTATTAATTTCATCCCACCATCTGGTAGTGACGTGAGGCAGTATCCTTCTAAAGTATCAAGTTTCATAACGAAGCAGTTCGGATCTTCTTCCTATATATTAGTGTCGATATTTTCACCGTCCGTTCCTGAAAAT